AGGGGGAGAAAGAAACAGGGAGGGAGGGGGAGAAGGAAACAGAGGGAGGGGGAAGAAAGAAACAGGGAGGGAGGGAGGGGAAAGAAACAGGGAGGGAGGGGGAAGAAAGAGGGAGTGAGGGGGAGAAGGAAACAGGGAGGGAGGGGGAGAAGGAAACAGGGAAGGAGGGAGGGGGGAGAAGGAAACGGAGGGAGGGGGAAGAAAGAAACGGAGGGAGGGGGAAAAAGAGGGAGGGAGGGGGGAGAAGGAAACAGGGAGGGAGGGGGAGAAGGAAACAGGGAAGGAGGGGGAAGAAAGAAACAGGGAGGGGGAAGAAAGAAACAGGGAGGGGAGGGGAGGGGGGAAGAAAGAAACTGACAGGGGAGGGGGGAGAAAGAAACTAACAGGGAGGTGGGGGGGAAAGAAACTAACGGGGGGGAGACATTGACAGGGAGGGGAATTGACGGGGAGAGAGAAATTGACAGGGAGGGGGGAGTGACAGGGGAGGGAGGGGGAATGAGAGTAACAAGGGAGGGGGGGGAGAAGAGAGTGACAAGGGAGGGGGGAGAGATTGACATCCATCACACACACACACACAATCACACACAATGCACCCCTTACACACAAAGACAATGAACCCCTTGCACACAGAAAAACACACAATGCATTACACACACAATGCATTACACACACACACGCAATGCAACCCTTACACACAATGCATCCCTTGCACACACAGAAACACACAATGCATTCCTTACACACACTCAATGCACCCCTTACAGACTCACACACTTCATCCCTTACATACACAGAAACACACCTTGCAGCCCTTACACATACAAACACAGATTCACAAAATGCATTCCTTACACACAAATCAGGACATTCCCTACACACTCCATCCCCTGTGAACAAACTCATTGGTGGAAAATGAAGGTGGACCCTGGGACCCAGACCTTGAGCTGTGTAAAGGGCCCCCCAAAAATGGAGCTGCTTCTCGTTCTCCCAGAACATTGATTTGTGTGACCACAGTTACAAACAGCCTCCAGAGATCCTGTTATACACCAGACCAGTGGAGCCAGACTGCAGCTAGAGCCCATCATCATCCTCATCTGCTTGTAAGTAGGTAATCTAGTATATTATTCGTGGCACTAATCTCTAATTTACCTCACATTAAAGAAACACTATAGTCCCCAGAACCACTGCACCTTAATGTAGTGGTCCTGGTGTCTATAGCCTGTCCCTGCAGGCCTTTTAATGTAAACACAGCGGCACTGCAGCACTAGCGTTAGTTAACATGGCAGGTCATATGGGTGGGGCATTGCGATGTCACGGGGGGGAGGAGGGGGGCGTCAAACTTTACTTTTGCCTAGGGCGGCAAAAATCCTTGCACCGGCCCTGTAAGCACCTCATGAACTCTTTGATTGAGAAATATTTTGAAGCACCCGGAATCACCACCTTGACATGAAATTACTGCAGATTCTGTACCATCTGCATCAGATGTAATCCAGGGAAAATAATCAAAGCTTCACCAAACCATTTGGCCAAACCACAGTACCCTTTCCAGAGGATCCAAATTGATCATATCCAAATGCCAAAGAGCGGCCGGTATGAATACGCACTGGTCATAGTGGATATGTTTTCAGGATGGCCAGAGGCTTTTCCGGTCGCTAATCTCACTGCAAAGACCACGGCGAAGCGTCTACTTACCGGAATCATTTGCAGATACGGAGTTCCTGAAGTAATCGAAAGTGACCAGGGTACATCCTTCACCGTGTTGCTAACCAAGGAGATCTGGGCAGCACTGGGAGTGATCCTTGCATTCCACACACCCTATCACCCACAGAGTAGTGGTAAGGTAGAACGCATGAATGGCACTCTGAAAGCCAGAATGCTTAAAATGTCCCAAGAAACTAACCTACCCTGGCCGGAGAGTCTTCCCATGGCATTGTTTAGTGTAAGGTACACCCCCTACGAAATCTTATTTGGAACAGCACACATGTTAGGCTGTTACTTTCCTCGGGAACTTCAAATTCAGTCAGATGCAAGAGTAGATTATATAACTGCACTCTCTCATGCCTTGACCAAAATCCATGCACAGGTGTTTTCTTCTATTCCAGATCCAGAGTCAAATACAGGCACTGTTGACTGGGTTATGGTCAAGAAGTTCCTAAGAAAACACACTCTTGAGCCAAGATTCGATGGTCCATTCTAAGTCCTATTGACTACATCTACCTCTGTAAAGTTGGCCGGGAAGAATACCTGGATACACGCCTCGCACTGCAAGAAAGTTCCTGATCCAAAGGAAGCAGATTCCGCCAAATCATGAGATTCCTGTGCCTATTTCTGCTGCTAGGCTTATCGAAGGCCCTACAAGTTTCTATTACCAAAGACAATCATGTTTACACATTTTGGTATAATTCTTCAAACACACACGTAGCTACTTTCACCTTTGATTACTGTGATATTGTCTCTTGTACTTTTCCACAATCACAACACGCAGCAATATACAAAGACATACCAAGCAAAAAGTACCCATATATTTGTGTGACAGGTGACCATTGGGGACATCACTGTAGTACCTGGAAAGCAGCGGGTTGGAATATGGGCTGACCATGGGGCTACAGACCACAAAGTGCCTTAGATAGGATTGACAGATATGGGAAACCCTCGTTATACAGAATGACCTTATGCAAGCCAACAGGGTCTACCCCAATGAAGCTCACCTTAAACATAGAACATCACAGCCCAAGAGACGCTGGGGAGTATGTAATGGGAATGTATTGGAAAGGGGGTGGCTCATATAACAAGTTGGGGTCCTTCTATTTACAAGACATGCTTATGTCACCTGACTGGGTAGACTCCACACACGACCATTAACCCTCTAAAACCACACATTAAAACCATTAAAGACATGGTAGCCATTGCCAATCCCACATTTGAATACACTATAGCTGTGGAGACCAGGTTTTCAGATACTAATCTATGGCTTGAACGGATGAGGTATAATGCTAATTCACATAACAAAACTAACTGTTATGTTTGTGGTGGGGCCAGACCCCATCTGGGTACAGTGCCTTCAAATCTACCTCCAGATGTTGAGATGTGTTTCTTAAGCCTCTATGTGCAGTCAGCAGTGAATTCATCAGTGTGTGAATCATGGAAAAAGGTTTACCCAATAACCCAAGGGAATATCAAGCCACCTGATGGAATCACCGTGTACCCAGGTAACTACACTTGCTACACAATACATGGAGCCACAGGTAAATTTGTAGGTAAATTCCCTTCTGGCTACTGCTATGTTTATAAAACAAAGGGTTAACCCTAGTTGGACCTGGCACCCAGACCACTTCATAAAGCTGAAGTGGTCTGGGTGCCTATAGTGGTCCTTTAATGCAACAAACTTATCTAATTTTTAAATGGTAAAAAGCACCAAATAACAAGTGCAGACATGCAATAAAATGTCAATAGGCAGATAAAACCTCACTAGCAAACTATTACTTAATGCTTTCAGTGCAAGAGCCAAGATTGATAAAGCACAGCTATTGGGTGCATTATTGAAAAGAAACATAGATTAATACATAGCAGAGGCGTGTCTTGGCCACCATCTTGGATGGCCACTTTTTAGAGAGATTCTAAGGACACTGGGACTTAAAGGTTCCTAAATTGCAGCATATCACTTTAAATGTGATTTTTGGACTACTAATATTGCTTTAAGAAGACATAATTTACATGCAGAATGAAGTAAAAATGATGTCTGGAGTGAAGGACATCGAGAAGATGGCTGAGGGGGTAAGTAGGAGCATGCATGCTCGCTCCCCCTCCCATTTGCCGACTCCACAGTTTATTTCACCCACCCTTCTTCCAGACCTCGTTCTTATGCAAGCGCGGCCGCAGCCCGCTTGCACCACGGCTCAAGCAGCGGGACTGCGGCCACGAGTGATGACATGCCAGGAGGCGAGAAAAAGCGGGACATGCCAGCAGGTGAGAGCAGCTAAGTACTGTTACCACGAGAGGCTTAGAGTGCAATAAAGACTGCGAGCTGTCTATTAGAAGAGCAGCCCAATCGCTCACTTATACAAGTAATCAGGCTGCTGGTAGGAGGGAGGGTGGCACGAGGTCCCGGTCCCCGTCGGGACCCACGGCTTCGCAGGCGTCGGTCCCGGCAGGGGGGTCATCGGCCCCCACCTACTGAAAAATTAAAGACACACAACAAATAATAATAAGTGGGCAAGATAGGGCTACAGACAGCCCTACAGAATTACTTTTATTATTAATTAATTACTTAATTTATTATTACTTAATTAAATGATTAATTAATTACTTAATTGTGCAAACTGATGGCGATGTCCCTATTATTATTGAACTGCCAGCACAGTCACACATTCTCAAGAATGTTGCCACTACCAAGATGGCCACCATTGCAAAAACTGTCACTACCACAACCAAGATGGCTGCTACAGTTACTGAAAGAATCTCTCATACAGCAGCAGCTCCATATAATCCAAATATTCCACTTGAAATGGCTGCAGGGTTACCAGCCTCAGCAGACATGTTAATAGATCTTATTAAAAATCTAAGAGATAAGATAAGGAATGACTTCAATAAAGACTTTGATGCAATAAATGGTTTCATGGAAGACACCAATTTACATACAGAAGATGTTGAGAATGTAATTCACTACCAAGATCAGTCTCACTTAGAATTAGTGGAAAAAGTTGACATGCTACAGAGGCAACTTAACCAGCAAGTAGAAAAATCACCGGAGCCAGAAGATAGAAGTAGGTGTAATAACCTATGCATCTGAAGAATATCTGATTCTATAGATAACACTGAATTTTATCACATGACAGGAGGCTTCGTATTTTGCATAATCTTTCTTTACTATCTCCATAGCAGCAAAGAAATGAGTGACAAAACTTTTAACCAATCACAACGTAGAATAGGGTATAAGAGGTGAGACCTATGACATCATTTCCCCTCTTTCTTTGCTGCTCCATCACAAGTTAAGTACCAAATTTTGTATTATCTATTCTACATACACTTTTCATTTACATGCCTTTTGTTTTCACTGTACCTTTATATATTTACCCTATTAATGCTCTTAACCCCTGTATACCAGGGGACCCTGTCTGGCTCCCTAACTGTCTTTCACGGCTTTCCCGCCGTCTGTACTTTCCCTCCATTTTCTCTGTTTCTCTTTAACAGTTTTTCTGTTCTTTTTACCGAACGCGTTATTCGGTAGTTTTGCGCATTCGCCTGTTTTACTCGAATGCCCGCGCGACCGCACATTGACTATTCGTTTCTAACTACCGAACGCTTCGTTCGGCAGTTTGACGCGATCGCCTTTTTAAACGTTCGCATCTATTTCTATTCGCACGTTCGGCAGTTCGCATAGATCTTCTATTCACGTTCGGCAGTTTTATGCGAATGGCAAGCTTACAGTTTGCCGCCCAAACTGGGGGAGGTACTATTCTCCACACACTGAGCCTGTCAGTCCGGCGGCCATCTTAAAGAGATAGACACTGCCTGATTTTTCTGCTCCTGCTATTCCAACAAGCAATTGAAAAGCCTTACCCTTTTTCACTCAGTGGGACCAGGTTAGTGCCTTACACTTGGGGTTGGTTTAGCCAGTTGGTCTGCACCTTATTCTGGCCGGGGTGAGCCCCCATTTTATGCTGCTAAACGGTCCTGTTTATGCAGGTTCCGATCACCTGGGTGAGCCCCAGTGAATCTGCCCTCTCCTCTACGACCTACCGGTCTCTAACCACAGGTTATTTAGTCCTGATACCATACCACCCCGGTCCCCAGGCCTCTCCATTAATCGTGCCTAGTGCCCTCACGCAATTTACCGGGTGAGCCCCAAATCCTCACTCCTCATAATGGAGGAATCACAAACCCCAGACCTCCAGGCCATGATAACAGCAGCCGTGGCTGCAGCCATGGAACAAGCCGCTTCCAAGTCGCTCCAAACAAACCCTGAGGTTCCCAGGCCCACCTCTAAACGGGTTCATTACAAGGCGGACTCTGAAGACTCTGACTCTTCCAGGGAACACTCCCAACGGCGAAAACGCCATTGGAAGGGCAATGTAACCCCACACAAGGCTAAAGGGAAAGCCCCTGCTGATCGCAGGAAAGCCACGGTTCGTG